ATTTTTCTTGAGGTGCTCAAGAAAAAGAGTAATGCAGGACAAGGAAAACAGAAATGTAAAACCTATAGATTAAAATACGATCTAAAATGTGTACATAGCTTTTTATCTGGTCAGTCGATGTAAATAGTTTTAAATTTTAACTGATACAGTTAATTAATTATTTATACATGTATGCTGTAGCATCGCTGATGGGCTGTCTTGAATTTTCTGCGTTTCCTGAACATGTAACATAAACTCTCTATAAGCCACTGTATAAAACCGTAGTGTTTGCTAACCTGCTGCAGCCATGCTGCATGGTCCTGTTTAAATCACAGGCCTGGTATATTCCAGTCGCTCTAATGTTGGCCCCTCTACCAGGGAAAATGTTTGTTAGTTTAGTGCGCTGTGCCACCTGCAGCTGTGACGCTGCGCTTTCTGGGGTTAAAAACCAAACATTCCAACTACCAGCCAGCTGGCTCAAGCTTAGAAAGGACCAGTTATTTGGAAATCCAGATGGCCACCATGCCCCTATCTTTACTGCAGTTTGATGTTAGCAGTGTTAACATCCCTGTCAGGTCGATATCTCCCATACCATACCATAACCTATTGCATGGCTGGAGAGCTATTTCAGTGACACACTGAAATGCACAAAAAAGCACCATCACAGCTCCTTCCTCCCAGCTGTTAGAGTTTATAACAATCACTCCTCCAAATGCATTCAATACATTTTTTATAAAAGCTGTAAATAAATTGGTTAGTTTTATTTTATGAACAAATATATAGAACAAGTTTTGCACATAAGAATAAGCTACTCATTTGCACACTTCTATTACTTTTTGCTTATTCCATCGATAACAACTAAAAGCTGTGCAAAGTTTTATTTATTGTGTTTCAAATTATTCCTAGCTGCATTGTAAGCCATTCTAATTTTTTTTTTTTCCATGATTTTTACCTTAGTGTGCATCAGCAAATATGCTTCCATTAGTGCCTCATTTTGCTGCTGGGACATGAGAAATTCCCCACTGAGGGACAATAAAGGTTATTTCTATTCTAATCTATTCTTTTTATTGGATAAAAGGGCATATCTTATATGAAACTGGATTACACTGTAAAAATGAGCTTTAGAGGGTATCAAATATCAGCTATTAAATCTATTTTTTCTTTCTATCTATACAAATCAAATGTCAACAAAACTATTGGACATGGAAAATATAAATAGAGACGTTTAAGAAGAAATGTACATTACTTTAACTCAAATATTGACCATTGTTTTGTTGTTTATATATATAATTTTTAATTACTTATTTCTAATAGCATTAGCTTGTTTATGTTAGTAACAAATCATCTTGCTGACCAAAAAGGAAACATGAGACCGACATTTTTAACCAGTTTTTTAGTGAATGTAACTACAAACACAAGAAAATTAAAAACCGCATTCAGACATGTAATAAAGAGTTTCTGTACTATGGCCTGAATCCTAATGTTTAATTAACCTGAGCCAGTGTAGAGTCAGCACTGTGAAACTTCCTGACCCTGAAGCATTCCTTGTCAATGAATCTTGGGAGTTTTAGGTCAAATGTGTGACGTCTTCTTTCATTACTGAGTGCCTTAATGACAAACCAGATGCTTTTATTTCTTTGTTATTGCAGGGTGTTAATACGTCGATACAACATACCTTTAAAAGTCTATAGTTAAACCAGCTCTAAATATTTAAGCTAACTTAATGATTAAACAAGCTAAATTGTAGTCAAATAATTGTGTGGAGCCAAAAGACGCACCAATATAAATAACGCACTCATATATATATATATATATATATATATATATATATATATATATATATATATATTTTTTTTTTATGCTCTAATGAATGCAACGTGTATAATAACACCACTATGGCTTATTGGATGTGAGGTGGAGCTAGATGGGGGCCCAGGGGTGGCCATCGCAACCTTTAGCCAATCATTGGCCTCCCCTACCATTTATTTCCCTCTAATACAGATAGAGGCAAAACATTTCAATTTTTTATATATTAACAATTACTTGACAACAAAAACACTGTGGTTAATTATGCACATCAATATACCAACATTAAGAATGATACGTACAGAATTCATCCTCTTTTCAGAACTAGATTTTGTGTTTTATGGGGTAAAGAGAAAATTATGCGTCTCTGTATAAAGAAGGTATAAATAAGGTCCGGTCAGTCATTTTAACATCAGGTGGGTAAAAGAGGAATTTTTTGCACAATTACATATTTCACATTTGTGTAAGGGACCCACCAGGTGTCTGTGACGGGGCCCCTAAGAGGTCGGAGGCCCCTAAGCAACTGCAGTTTCTGCTTACCGATAGTTAGGCCATTGATTGCCTGGCCACCCTTATTAAAATGTTCTGGCTACGCCTCTGCTTGGATGTATATATGGGCCTAATATGGACGTTAGAGAAGGAACCGCAGGACTGCAGCACTGAACAGCCCGTCACATCCGCAGGCGCACGTCCCGCAGATCTAACATGACATGACCGGAGGAAGCGCGGATAATTAGGAGCCAAAGGAAAAAAAAAAAAAAACCCGCAGCGTTTCATGTTTTCACCTCAGCCATGGGTTGGTGGAGATTCCTCCACCTTCCAGGCCTTTTTTCGCTTTCGGTCAGTTCGTATCTCCCCGTGTTTTCCAGACGCAAGTATCCGGGAGGAGGAGGATCAGTCAGGGCAGAGGAAAAGTTCCACTGCCGAACAGGAAGCAGGGAAACCCCTGAGGAAAAGACCTTTCATTGAAAATTACAGCATTTAAAAAATTAAAAAATGAGGGGGGAAAGTATGAGAAATCTCCAGGGACTTTGACTGCTGTAGTCACAGTATCTGCGACTATCGAAACCTCTGAATGGAGCGACTGATTTAACGCGATTCTGTTGGGATTTTAGGAAAAGCGCTTAAATATTCCCATCATTTAAACACGCAGAAACTCCCCATTAAACTGCGTTACAACAAATCAAAATCAGCAAGAGTAATAATGAGCATACACCTGCAATGTCAGTGAGGTGAGGAGCACAGCAATGGTTTCAGTGCCTATTAGAGTTTAAAAACAGGCAGTGAGCCAAATATAAACAAACCACACCGACCTGCTTGTGTTCCTGCCGCAGGAGACTATTGTTCCGCCTCTGTGTGCTAATCCCGGCAGCACGCTGGGACTGAAAGCCACTGCGACAAGTTCCTCCAAATAGTTTGCTGTAAAAAATGCTAATCAAACCAGCAAACTGCTCGCTAAACCCGTCCGGGATTTTCTATCCCAGCGTTAACCGATGTTTATTGGCGTCCTGTCCCCCGACAGAGCGCATTATGGATCAATGTTAAAACACAATCAGGCCAAAGTTTCGTTCAAACGCAGCTTCGTCCCGTCCGGTGATGATCAGCCATATCGCTGCTGCTGCTGCTGCTGCTGCTGCGTGGATCCCGAGTGGAGGCAGAAGCGTGATCCCGGAAAACACCGCAAGGGGTGTGCGTGTGCGTGGGTGTGTGTGTGTTTAAGGGAGAGTCTGTAACATCCTCCCCCACCTAGCAGACCCTCTCTATTTAAATATAAAGTAGGGTCAGATGGAATAATGTGAGAGGCAAACTTACTTAATTAAACTCAATCTTTATTTAATTATGCAACTAAATGGAGAGTAAGGAAGTTAAGTTCTCTACAACTGGTTTTCTGTCATGAGCAAGACATACTTAGTAGCTTTAAACCCAACAAAAGCCAACTCATAGTGTTTTTAAACCATATATTTTAGTTTATTTAATTTAATCTGGTTTTATTGTTGTGCACATGTGTAGATAACACAACAGGGGTATATTTCCAGAACAACTTAACAAGAGAAAAAAAATTCCTTTAGTTTTATTTATTTATTTACTTTTTTTTGTTTGTTTGTTTTGCAAACACGCGAAGGCAACATTTCCTAATTGCTGTTTTTTGTCAAAGAAATAATTGGCGGACTTAAGAAATTACGTCAAGACTCAAAATGACATGGCACAGTTGGAAAAGTATGAAATGTGTGTTTATGTCGCCACCGTGTGGACAACTACGAAAACTCTTGTATATTGCATTGTCCTATATCAAATATTTATATACTGTATGTATCTCTCCCTCTCTGTCTCTCTCTATAGATGTTTTATATATATATATATATATATATATATATATATATATATATATATATATATATATATATATATATATATATATATATTGAAAATACTCAAGTAAGAATAGCAATATTTTATATTTTCACTAAAGAGTATAAGTATTTGGTACATATGATATCATCTGATATTTAGAATGATGTAATTAAGTCAGAAAAAAATGTAAGGTTACATGCAAATTCTGGTATTTTAAAGACTATAATAGAAAAAAGAATGTATCTAAAAAAATAATATTTTAAGGCAGACAAAACACTTCTCCAAACCAATTTTATTTTTAAATATAATTCTTATGAAACAAGTACCTCAAGTAACAATACTTCCTCCTTACAAAAACATTAACCTGATCTCTAAATATCATTGTAGGTTCAAGTAGGCTTATACCAAAAATATATCTAATTTTAACATAAACATTGTCTGCGTGTCTTTGTCTGGAGCACTTAAAAAAAAAGATAATTTGTTGCTCAGGGAAGTCACTCAAAATAAATGGAGTAGAATTAAGAGTAGCAGTATTATCTAAAGATATTATGGTGCAGCAGAATTACTTATAAATGTATACTTTTGTCAAAGGGTTACTCAAGTTTTTTTTTAACTTGTACTACCAACCTATATATATACAGATAGACTGATAAATGGATAGATAGATATTCACAACTTATTTTGTTTTCCTTTCCTCTCTTTGAATATTGTCCACAACCATTTAAATGATACATTTTAAGAATGTATTGTAACATTTCAAGATTGCAGGTCAAAATGTCTGGAATGACAGGTAGGGGGCGCTAAGCGTTTACGACAGCTGCTGGGCAACGGATATTGCTGCCCTATCTTGTTGCTAGGCTCGTTGTCAGGGGCAGCGCATCTATCAGTGCTAGCACAGGATTAGCAGCTTTTATGTTATGACAAGTCACGAAATATGTATTTATTTTAGCAAAAAGGGACCGTCGTTGCATTTTTTGCCACTCACTCGATGGTGTCCTGCTTCGTTCTCGTCTTTTCTCAAACAGAACAGATGTTTGCAGCGGGGCTAGCTCTGTAGCTAAACAACACAGGTATGCTAATGTCAGAGGATAGCTAACGTCTTCCAACATCAAGCCCGCCTGGTTTGTGTTGTCACGTTAACCTGTTCATATTTCCGTTGAAACAATATCTAACTCCCTGTTGTTAACTATGAATGACGCTTACGAAGATTTACTTGAGCACGAAGAAACCGACATGAGCGAGAAACCATTCTCGCCTCCTTGCAAGGCTCCTTCTCGCTCTACTCGGCTGCACATCCAGAAAAGCAATGTGTGCTCTCGTGCTTATTTCGTCGTGGTTATGGTATTCTTCCATGTTTACATCCTGAATATTATTGCCCTACTGCTCTACGTGCACTACAACAACGGCCCTGCGGATTTAGTGATGGGAGATGGGGCTTCCCCTGCTTCAGTCATCCATGCTGATGATACTTTGCCTCCACCTGCTCCATCGGTGGGTGACTTGGATGGAGAAGACTACAGTCAGAGTTTCAGCCTGCATCGTTTGGAGGGGATAAGGGTAAAAGACCATTTATTATGACCTTTAAATTCTATTTGAATCACTACCAACACTGATCATACATTTAAAATTGCATATTACAGTCTTACTCTAGGGATATTGGGATCAAAGCATTTGGAAAAAATATATGGAAATAAAGATGCATCATAAATGGTGCAATAGCATAAATAAAATAATGAAAAAAAGCATGCTGTGGATCACTGTTTCAGCTTTTAAATTGTTTCCTGTGTCCCTTTAGGTTGGACATGTTCAGCAGGTGTCTATTGTAGCAGACAGAACACATGAGATGAAAACACTGAGTCTGAAACCTTTGCTGTTTGGTAAGTAAATTCCAACACCTGAATGAGATCTTCCATTTTATGTAACACTAAGTTCTATAAGATGTGTAGCTATCTGTTTGTAAAAAGTTGCTGAAGTTTGAAAACAGTTGCTGTAACACAAGCACTTTGACAGAAAGCTTCAAAACTTGATAAGAGAGAAATAAGGCAAGGGCTGTTTTACACATACAGCCTTAATTCGAGTTATTAGCGGATTTCTTTTCTTTGGATCTTACAAGTTCTACAGGAAACAATACAACTTTTGGAGACAAGTTGTTCTTTTTCAGTCAGAGCCCTACATTTAAACTTTAGCTTAATATGAATGATCAGCTTCCATGTATTAAATAAACATAGCTGCTATTATTTTTTTGAATAAAGTAAAGGTGAACGTTATATTTCAAATCTATCACTGTTTTTCTTCCGAATTTAAACTAATGAGAGATGTTTCCAGAAGCAGATTTACTTTTTCATTTATTTGATAAATGATCAATCAAGTTAAAATGACAGGAACCATGCTGCTTTTAGTATTTATTTTACTTTATTTAACGAAATGTATCCAAAAAAAACAGATGCTGACAGATACTGAAATATGAAAAAATATGGAATTATGTTCATGTTTTTATCTTTGTTGAATGGAGAAAATACAGGAAGCAGATTTGGATTGAAAGAAAAAAGAAAAGCTCAGTAATTAATATATCAGAAACACATAGACCAACAATATTAAGTTAAAGTATAAAAATCATTATGTACATTTTTTTCCTAGTCTCTACTTCTATAGTGAAAGTTTCTCAATCATGCTATCAGTATGTTTCAGGACTAAACTGCTTTGAATTCTTTTCAAAAAGTCCAACAAATATTTACAGCTGTTGCTTTATAGGAAGCTTCTAAACTCTTTCCCAAAACCATAGTTGATCTCACATTTCAGTTAGAATTTTCCAAGATGTTAGTTCCTGCATCTGTGAGTTTTCCACTTGCGTAAAGCTGCAGTGAGGTTTCTGTCTCGTCTTTGCCAAACGTAAGCCTTGTTGACCACCAGGCGTTCCCCTTGGACTGTCCCTGTCACAAGGAAGGTGCCGCCTCGTGGATGTTGTCGGGTCATGTTCTGTACGCACGTAGCATCTCTCTCCAGCCACAACTCAATCCCTGAGCGTATCTGCCCCCCTGACAGGGGCCCAGGCTTTAAGATGTCCAACTTAGAAGCCAGGGAGAACTGAGAAAGACTTAATGGACTGTACTTGAGTCTGGTCAGACGCAGCTTCACAACTTGGAAGATTTTAGAGAGAGAAAAAAAAAGTTTTGTTGACTTCTGTTTATTGATAAATATCCTTCTGCTCGATAATCATAAACAATAAAAAACATAGAATGCTTCCAAAAGAGTAAACATGTCTGGACTCACCAAAATCACTCCTGCAAAAAGTCTCCAGTGTGTCTTTAGGGGACGAAGCCTCCTCTAGCTCACAGTCCCGACAGCTTGCCTGAGGCACTGAAATAGTTAAAATCGGATAATTGGTTTAATAGACTTGACCCACTCATACGTGTGCGGTTACTCACCTCCACGTGCTCCCGTGTAAACGCTTGCGTTGGTGATGGAGGAGATGCACACCAGGTGATCTGCGGGATACTGGTCACACCTCAGAATTTCCGGCCAGGGGTAACCATAGCAACTCATGATGGGAGCACAGCTTTCCCGTACAGATTCACACAAACTCATGCACGGGGAGATAAACCTGTGAAAAACAGCATGGAGAGGAAATTGGACAGCAGTGATTAAATGACGAGTTTTAAACTGATTTAAGGGTAGAGACCTCTTGACACCCCTGCCTCCCCCCCAGACACACACATCTGTAATGTAATAATAATATATAGAGGTCTTTGACCTTGATGACCTAAATTCACATTCACGTTTTGATTGAAACTGATGTGCTGCTTAGTGTCTAACTCAGGGATGTCAAACTGGTTCCAGAAAGGGCCGTGTGGCTGCAGGTTTTCTTTCCAACCAAGCAATAGCACACCAGACTCCAGTCACCTCATCAAGTGAGTCCAGTCTTAACATGATGACTTGATGAGATAACTGGAGTCTGGTGTGCCATTGCTTTGTTGGAAAGAAAACCTGCAGCCACACGGCCCTTTCTGGAACCGGTTTGACACCCCTGGTCTAACTGGTGTCGTCTTTTGATGACTCTGGACCCATGTTGTCAATTAGAGACAAAATATGGTCTTTTTCGACCCTCTTCCTCCTAAAAACTCTTATTCTTTTGTGCATTTTTATCAATACTTATAATTAATAGGAAAAAAGATTGTTAAACTTATTTTTTCAGTGAGTTTGAGTAAGCATATGTACCTGTCTAGGCATATTGGTGCAAAGAGAGAGCAAAGGAAGATGCGGGCGTCAGGATGGCACTCTCTGGCAAGCAGTGGTAACCAGCTGGCGCTCTGCTGGACAGCCTCAGCTGGAGAATCATGGCCCAGCAGGTTTGGGATCCGCATGGTGTCATAACCAATGTTGTGGCACAGAGCCATGTTGGAGGGCACTGGCACACATCGAGAAGAGATGCGGGGTTCCCACAGTTTGCTGTCGCTTGTTAGATATGGGGATCTGAAGTAAGATGGAGTACCAGGCTCTCCCCACGTGTCTCCATCTTCCTCTTCTGCTTCTGGTAGTCCTTGTTTCGAGGAACGAGAGTCTCCAAATCCACCATCTCTCCTGCTGTCCATACCTGTCAGGTCTCTGCCCTTTTCCTCAAGTACAGATTGAACTATGTCCTCTGTCCGCATATATCCGCCCAGCTGTGTCCGGCCTCTGCCAGGTGTCGCTGGTTTGCTTGGCCAAACAAGCAAAAGGAGAATGAGCAAAGTAGCCAAAGGGGAGGTCATTATTAGTAAGAATGTCTGTGATATAGAAAAAAGGAAAATAGGAGAAATTAGGAAGTACTAATGTTCTCTGAGTGGAAGTGGAGAGGATATTGTCAGGTTAGATGTATTTATAGTGGGCAGTGAACAGACTTGCATAGAAATAGGAAAGGGGAGGTGTAGAGCGCTGTAGGAAGTAGGGGCGGGGTGCTCAGAGAGAGGTGCATTAATTTATTGAGTAAATTTAATAGTCTTTGACAGATTTAAACTTCTTTTAAAATAATAATGTTCTTGAATTAAATGTTTTGTTTTCAAATCAAATTTAATAATTTGTTAAGAGTATTCTTTACCGTCTCTACATGCACAGGGCTTTTGCTCACGAGTGCAGAGATGATTTCTTATCAGAATACTGCTTTCCCTTAAGGACTAAAATACCAGTAATATTGGAGACAGTTATCTCCTTGGGGGCTGAGGTCATTATTGACCAAGGTAATAACAAGTGAACTCTATACAGTCAGTTCTACATTTATGAGCATTTGTAGAGGATATGAACAAAATTTGGGTTGTCCCACAGCATAGCCGTGGCCTGATTCCTGTTCTGACAAGCGGGTCACTTCCTTTCCGGGGGGAGAAAGACAGACATCCACGGGAGGGAGAAGAGGAAGCCTCGATCCGCCTTCATTCATATCAATTCTCCAGATTAATGAGGCTTGACTGGACAATAGGGATTAACCGAGGGTACAGTGCAAACGACACGGGTGACAAACAAAGCCTCTACTATACAAGCAGCCAGCGTGCCGGAAGTCTTTTATTTGAAGGGGTCACGACAATTGGACATAGATGGGCTGTAGCATGAAAAAGCCAGAGGAAGGAACAACACATTATACTTTTATCAAAGTACCAACAAGTTTAAGAGAAAACTACTAAACATGTTGGAGAAGGTTTTGGAAATTAAACCATAGGAAAAAAAATGCTTAATGTTTAGTGCAACTTGATCCAACGTGATAGTTTATGTGCAAAATTAGACATGGCAGAGTAGACACATATCATGTTACAGCTTTACGGGTAATAATCTTAGCAGTTTATAGTTCTTGAAACCAGCACATCCTTTTTCTGTAAAGATCATTAAAACTGCCTTAGAGACAAGTCCTACCACAGGTGTCTGAGTGTAAACTACCTGAGAAGAATAGCCTTCAATCATTAGACACACAGTTCATTTATTCTGGCTTTTGGTAGGAGCATTTCTCCCAGTAATCAGTACTAATCATCACTTTTACCTATTGATTGATTGA